GGTTCCCCCCCCCCTCCCTCCTGTGTGTGTGTGTGCATGAAAGAGAGAGAGAGGGATAGACTGGGGTGGGACGTTCTACTTTTCCGCTGTGGTCACCGCCAACACTCACATACGGTTGATATCCCCATTGGTGCCAGCACTGCTGTTTTTTTTTTTTTTTTTTACACGCACGTGTGGTGTTGCAAATGGAACGGCAGCAGCAGAACAAAACAACAACAACAAAAAAGGAATTATAAAAGCAGACGAGACGCGGGCTCAAACCCACATAAGGAGAAGGGTGGTGTTGAATGAATGGACATGTGACGCCAGGTGCCTCATTACATTTTCTTTTTGGTGCCAATTGTTTTTTTTTTTTTTTTTTTTGTTCAGCAGTTTCGTGTGTAGTTTTGCCCCTTTTTTTTCTTTTTCTTCTTTTTTCTTCTGTTTTCTTTTGCCCGTGACGCCAAAAGAGGGTCATGCGCTTTGTGGTGCCAGGGATGCCTCGCTGCTCGAGGGCGGCGGAAAAAAAACGAGTATCCCACGAGAAGCACACATGCCCGCTCAGGGGTGGGGGTGGGGTGGAATAATTACAGTTGTAGTTGCTTGCATTCCCGCCTGTCACCTACGGTGCCCCCATTATAGGGACCTGTGTGTGCGGCTATTGTGCTTGTGACGTTTTTTTTTTGTTTTCTTTTCTTTGTTTTGCAATCTTTGCGGGGTTTTTCGGTATTTCAAATTTACTTTTCATTATTTCACCCGTATTTATGTAACCTTGTCTGTGTGCGAGTTTGTGTGACTTTGTGCTTTCTCCCCCTTCACCCCCTCCTCTGCGGTGTGTTTTTGTTTGGTGCCTGCTGCCCACCTTTTTTTTTTTTTTTTGCCGCGGTGCGGTGTTGCACCCGCCTGCGTGTGTGCGACTCATGCACTTTTTTTTTTTTCTCCATTGCGGTTTTCTTCTTTCTCTCTCTCTTTTTTTTTTTTTTTTTTTGTTGCTTCACACGAAGAGGGAGAAAAAACAACAAAAACAACAACAAAAGAGCGGACGAAGAGGGGAATTCCTTTTTTTTTTTTTTTTGAGGGATAAAACTCTCCACTTCATTTATTTATTTCGTCTCCCTTTTTTTCTTCCCTGCTGCTGCTGCTGCTGCCGACTGCCGAGGCCTCCCCATTCGTTGCGTTGTCGTTCTGCGGCAGGGCGGTGCAGGGGAGCCTGACAGCGGCGCACGAACACGGCGAAGCGCAAAGGCATTGGCGCATAGAAGACACGAGTGGAGCAAAAAAATTTAGGCACACACAAATACTCACGGGAGAGTTAGCGGCAAAAGAAGGAAGAGTGCAAAAAAGCAAAAACAAACAAACAAACAAAAAGAACAAAACGTGATCTTTACGACGAAGAAAAGAAATTGAAAGAAGTAGAGGGTTGAGGGCGTGTCACATGTACGCGGATCCCAATAATCTTGAGACCGGACACGTTCTTTACAGTACGGATGTCGCGAATTGCACGGACTCTCGTCCGGATGACTTTCAGACGGCGGCAGACGAAATTGTTCGGCGTCGGCATGACTGGGTGAAGCTGAATGTTGGCGGGACATACTTTACAACAACATTCTCCACGCTCTTTTCGGACCGTGATAGCTTGCTTGCATTACTGGTTCAGGCCGAGATGGAGCATATGGCTCCTGTAGACAGGGATTCGGATTGCGCCATACTGCTGGATCTTGACCCGCTCTATTTCGCCCCCATACTGAACTACTTGAGGCACAATGTGCTCGTCATTCCACCCGGCGTCCCTGCAGCCGGTGTTTTAGCCGTCGCGGAATACTTGAACTTGCAGGGGGTGATTCGGCAGCTTGCACCGGAGCGGCAAAAGAAGCGGCAGCTATTGTACAGTTGGGGCTCTGGCGCGTCAGGGGAGTTGGGGACGCAGCGATTTCTGGATTGCAGCACACCAACGCTTGCACAAATTACCCCTTTTGGTGTGCGGGTGGTGGATGTCGCTCTTGGTGCCAACTACAGCTGTGCCCTTTCCGAGGATGGCAATATCTACACTTTTGGCAACGGAGACTGGGGCCAACTTGGACTTGGGAGTGCACGCGAGCTTGACGAGCACCCGGATGACAAGTCGGCGGTGGTAACTGTGCCACAGCGCATTCCATTGTTTGAGCAGGATCCAGCGGTGCATCTCGCCGCTGGTTATGCATTTGCCATGGCCCTAACAGCGGGACATCATGTCTACTTTTGGGGAAACAACAATCACGGGCAGAGTGGTCTTGGGCCAAGGTACTTTGACTACT